ATTTCCAACGGCCTGGGAATGCAGACCGTGCCTGGGCGCTGAGCCTCCTGGTCTGGACCCCGGCATGGTCCCCAGTGCGCGCCCTGCGTCGTCCCTCCAGTGGGCGCTTCTGCGCCGCCGCCACCTCTTCCAGTCTCGCAGGCTCGCAGCCCGAGCCTTCTCGCACTCTGGGACGACCGGCGCCCCGTGGCGTCCCCCCCAAGAACTCGACGCCGCTGTCGGCGTCGTGTCGCAACCGAACTCGCCCTTCGGGGAGCGAAAGGCTAACTCGGAGAACTCCCCAAACCAGGGGGGCGTTCCCCCCCGTCCCTGGGGCCCGCCTGGCATCTCAGGGCTCTTCCAGCCACACGGGGACATTTCCTCCTCTGGGTCAGATCTTCTAGAACCCTTGCTGGCGGTTCCCGCAAACGTTGCCGCCGCATGGCGCGGCTGAGCCTCGAGCCATCGGCACTGACCCGAACCATCTGGTGAGCTCCAGCTGCGACCTGGGGGTAGGTCTCTCGTCCTGCCATTGCCGTTCGTCCCACTGGCCGCGGCGGTTGCAGCCACCTGCCGCTGCCGAGATATGGCTTCTGAGCGAATCATGTGGTGCACGCTTCAAAGGCGACTTGCGTGTAGGTCAGGCTCCCACCAGCGCCAGAAGCTCGCATGCTGAGCTCATTGTCACCGCACGCCACGGCGGGCTCATCGCTCCTGAGCAGGACCGTGTTGAAACAATCCGCTGCGACCTGTGCGCAGGTCAGCACTCCCGTGCATGACCATGTAGTGTGCGCTCGTGCTGCGACTTGCGAGTAGTTCAAGCTCCCCGCTGGCGCCTCAAACTCTCAATCGCCGGGCCCGTTTGCACCGCGCGTCGCGGCCGACTCTTCGCTGCCGAGGAAGACCTGCTGTGACTGGGTATTGGCGAAACCTCCTTACTGCGCCGGAAGCTCGCACAGGCCGACGACGATGCCGCCGCAGGCCGCGGCAGAACCATCGTTCCTGAGCAGGGACGTGCTGCAATCCCGTGCTGCGACCCGGGTGCAGAGCAAGCCTGCCGCCTCGAGGAAAATGTCGCATTGGCCGAACGATGGAAAGACACATGTGCAGACCACTGTCGCTTCTGAGCCGAAGCGTGTGGCAATTTCCAACTGCGGCCTGGGATCGCTTTCCGGTCCAAGCCGCCCAGCGCCCCGTCGCTGCTGCAGGGGCCCGAAGTTGCTTGCGCCTGAGCTAGCCGGAGACAAGCGCCATCGAAAGGGCGGCAAACTGGGTCAGACGCAGCGCCAGACGAGGAGGAGAATGAGGCAAGCGTACTACGACGACGACGACGACGACGCCCCCTACCCGCGGAGCTCCTCGGCGTTGGGCGCCGTGAGGTGCAGCTCGCGGACAGCAGCCGCTGCCGCATCGAGATTCACTTGAGGATGAAGGAGAGACGCAAGAGGGAGGTGACGGAGAGAGTGATAAATATGACATGCAATGAACACTTCCTCGAGAACAGGAACGGTGCATATCGGGATCCCCCATCTGGCCAACGGATCAGAGGACAACTGCCTATTACGCAGAACAGTTGAAATAGACCAGGCAAGGCGAGGGCAGCTGGCGTAGTGCACTTGACGATCGGGCTCCCCCTCACAACCAAAAATACATCCCCTACGACCACCTTCATTCAGTATACGATGAGAGGTGAGCCACGCTCCGCTCAAGGTTCTCATCCACGACCAGGCCCAGGAGGGCGGGACAGATCTGAGAACACTCTGGATGCTGGGCCAGTCAATGGCCTGGATCACTGCAGACTGCTCAGGCCACCACTTCAGGAGACGGGACGCAAACAACTCTCCGAGGCCGTGCTGCGGCCAGCATTGGATACATGCAAGCTTGGCGGCACGCTGCGGCTTCACATCATTTACAGAGCAGGCGGCGGCGGCAGCAACGTGCATTGGACCTCCAACTCCACGGTCAGCATCATGCAGATACTCAACGAAGGCACGGCACTTCCAGTGCCGCGGATACCGTTTCCCTGCAGGCAACACTGTCAGGCGGCACTCGTGCAATTCCTGAGACATGGGCGTGTCTGTCATGCGCACCAACCAACGATATATCCGCTCATATTCAGGTAATGTCGACTTGGCTGTACGAGCGAGCGAAGCGATGCTGAGCACCTCCAGCGGGCACACTCTAGGCGCATTCCACTCATGAAGATACGCCCAGTCCCGTGCACGCGAAGCACCAAGCGGAAGGCGGAACGCCTGAGCCAAGGCACCTTTCTCGGCGTCCTTCAGCTCTGTCGGCAACGGCAAAAACTGCATGACGTAACTGAGGACAGACACTGCACGTGTCGAGTACAGCACGGCCGACGGTGATGCAGGCGTATTACCAGCAACAATTGCCGCAGCACGATCACGGTACTTCTGGCGGGGGAGAGTCCAGGAGTCGATCAGCTCGGCCGCCACATACCCAGGTAAAACAGTTTTAGCTTGAATTCGGAACTCGGACCACTCGGGAATGAACATGTTCAGAAACTTTTGGACTTGGGCTTTGAGAGCAGGGGTAAGCGGACCTGAGACTGGAGTCAAGACACACTTAGCTGGCTTGAGGCACAGGTGCGCGATCAGCTCAACGACTTTCATCACGCGTCTAAGCTGCAACAGCAAACGGATGTCCGACAAGGCTCCACCCAGGTCGTCCGCACACGCGCGGTTGATCCCCTTCCGCGGGATCTCGAAACTGCGATTGAGGTCAATCAGCGCCGGTGTGAGGGCAATCGCGAACAGCGGGCCTGAAAGAGGACACCCTTGGATAATCCCGGAGCGAATCCAAAAAACATGAACCAGGATCCCCTGGATCGACATCACACCTTCGATGCTATCATACAGCGTCTCGACGAACATCAAAAACCCGATAGGACAACCCATTTTCCTCAAAACAAGGATCACGAACTCCTGGGACAGGCTCGGGAAAGCGTGGCCGTAGTCCAAGGCGTACAGCATTGGACAACGGTCGTCAGCTTCAGGGCGGGCAGAGTGCACGCGAGCGAGGGCGTCCACCTCTAAGATGTTCTGGCAGAAGTTCCTGCCTTTCATGCACCCGCGTTGGTCCCGAGGAACGAAACGATCGAGCGGTTTTCGGATCGCCATGTTCATGGTCGCAGTGAGTAATTTGATGCTGGTATTTCGAAGCCCGAGAACACGAACCGACGAAGTTTCCCTGTCGCAGTCGCCCTCTCTCGTGCCAGTGCTGGACTCTCCTTTCGGCAAAAAGGCTTGCGAGGTGACGCTCTCAGCGGCAGGGGTGCTGTATCCAGACATCGCCCACCAGAGCAGGTCATGCAGCAGTATCAGTCCACTCGGGTGGGCCAGCCAGGCCGCATAACATAATCTGTCAACTCCTGGCGCTGGGTCGCTAACAGAGCGTGCAACTCTCTTCAGCATAGCAAGAGACGGCGGCGGGCAGTCGGCAAAGTCCACGGGGCAAACGAAGCGGTCGCAGTATGTGTTGGCCGTCTTCGATGGCCACGCTTTCCTTGACAATGAGCAGCGAGAGCAGCGCTACGATCAAGATCCCCCTCAACCCTCCTCCCTTCGACGAGCGCGGCACGAAGCGTGAGGCGACGAGCAAGCGGCGCCCATATCCTCGCCCTCCTCTCAATAGCCTGTAGCTGTTGACGTTCTCTCTGACGAACTCCCTCCCCCTCAGCGCGCTTGAGACGGGCGCGGGCAGCGAGGCGGTCGAGGTTGGCAGCCTCCAGTTGCGCTCTGTTAGTCCAGCTCTGGAAAGCAGCAGGGTGAATAAGTGAGACACGACCGCCTTCGATTCGAACAACATCAGCTGCGGCGGCATGAGTGGCGAGAAGTCGATCAGCTGTGACCGCATCCTGCCTCCAGACTGCACGGGCCAGAGCACGCGCGAGTAACAAAAGGGTGCGGGGGTCCGACGGCTTGCGAAGCACCAATAAGTCCCTCGCCTCCCTGCCAGCTTCCTGCATCAGATATTTTTGTCTCAGCGAGCGCCTCGGAGGACACGTGGCCATCAAGTGGGCCTTCTCCGCATCCAAAAACTTGGCAAGGCATTGCTTATATTCCAGGGAACTGCACACATGCTTGGGGGTCGGCCGTTCACCAGGGTCCTGGGGCTTCCGTTGGCGCATAGATATCGTGAGAGCAGCATGATCACTAACTTTGGCACGATGGAGTTTTTTGTCAGGAAGACCTTCCGCCCGAGCAGTAGCATATACTTGAGCGAGCACCCAACCAGGCCACGAGCACCATAATCGGTCAATCGCAGCAACAGCATCTGTCTGTTTGTCATAGTGAGTCGCACTTGCCGACGGGATCTCAAGCAGCCCATCCAGAGCATCAGCCCACCGCGGGGCCTTGGCGTGGCGTGGGCGAGCAATCCTCTGAGCCTCCGAAGGCTGCGCAAACGAAAGTTTTTCCTCGGACGCAAAGTTGAAATCACCATGCGCTACAACTACAACTGGTCCAGGAGACGATTCGGCCAGGGTCCGATCCCGATTTATCCGGTTGCACACGTTCCTTACTTGTTCAGAGGTTATATCATAACTGTGCACATTATAATGACTGAATTTCGTGTCTGGATTTTCGAAGACAACACGGAGCACACGACCATCGATAAGAGAGAGCGGAGTGGCAGTGACGCCAGGGGGAAGGGAAGGGGAACGATGGCCTCTGGTCAAAATCCCTGGAACGACAGTGGCAACCCCACCACGGATTCGTCCAGCGCGGTCTTCGCCGCAGAAACTCGAGTCAACTAGAGCACCAGGGAGGACACGTCTAAGGAAAGGAATGAGCTGTGCCTCACACTGGTGAATCTCCTGCAAAGCGGTGACTGTGGAGCCCAGTCGGAGCTTCTGGAGATAAGACAATTTCTCACAAGCGTGGGCCCCCTCGTATTGCAGCAGTGCGCGTGTGTTCCAGGAAGTGAAACGCGAGCCGCCAGCTGAGGCAGCGTCGCACAAGAACGGCAGCTGCGAGCGCGCGAACAGCGCGGCAAATCGGCTAAAGGCACCACTCAGGTTCCCGATCTGGTTGAAGAAGTTCCCGCACTGCTTCCAGCAGCTCGGCCTTGGATTTCCCGTACTTGGCGATGGTGCCAGGGTTCCAGAACAGCTTCGTCTCCTCGCGGCCAGGGAAGACCTCGATCTTGCACAGCGCATCCCAGCCGAGCGAGAGCCAGCCTCGGTCCCTGTCAACGAATATCCTCTGCTCACGGCCGTAGATCTCCTGCAGCTTTGTGCGGAACTTGCGCCCCGTGGTCTCCGTCTTGATCTGCTTCGGGTTCTTGTCGCCAGAGAAGTGCAGGCGGGTGGTGCCACCTGCCTGCGTTGGAACTTCAAGCTCACGCCATTGACTTGACGAGGTGCGCAATCCGCTGAGAATCTTCTGCACGCGCCTGGATGCCAGGCCAGTGGCTCCCGAGACCTGCAGCGCGAACATCTTGGCAATCGGGTCAGGAGACGGGAGTGACCACATGTCGGACGTGATCTGCATCTCCTCGGGCCACGGAGTGATGACGCTGCGCGCCTCCTCGGACCGCGCGGGCCTGCCCGCGTTGATCTTGACCACCGTCGCGTCGATCTCCCTCTCGAAGGAGGCGCTGCTCGCCAACGCCTTCGGCGCGGGCTGCTGCGAGTTGGCGACGACCAGTGCCTGCTGCAGCTGCTGGATCTGGGACTGCATGATCCCCAGGAGTCGATCATGCTCTGAGACACGCGCATCAACCTGTTGAATCTCGCCACGAATCTCGTCGCACCGCTGCATGGCCTCTGTGCGCAGCGCGTCGAGCTTGGGCGTGACCACCGCCATAATGTGCTTGTCCATCTTCTTCGGGAACTCGTCCATGTCCTTCTTGCAAGCCGCCATGCACTTGTCGAAATTCGACTTGAAAGCGCTGGTGATCGTCTCCGTCTCCTCTGAGATCGCAGACTTGACGGCCGTGCCCACGATCCTGTCGACCTCCTGCTGCACAACGTTGAGGCGCTCGTTGACCACTTCGAAGCATATGGTCCGCACGTGCGACTCGTCGTATTCTCCCTCGCTGTCTGACTGGTCCATGCAGTGCACCTCAGGCTGCACAGGAGTACTCCCAGCAGAGCCAGTAGCAGCACGGCGACCGCCAGGCCGCAGAGTCTTGTTCGGCTTGACGACCCTCTTGCCAGGCGTGCCAGGCGTCGTGGATCCTCGGGGCGTGGCGGGCGAGGAGCCACTACCTCCTGCGGGCATGGGCGAGACTGCTGGAGTGCGAGACTGAAAGCTGCTTAGGCGCGGGAGCCCAAATCCCGCGGTGAAGGCTGCAGAAGGGTGCCAGGCAGAACTGCCTTGCCTGCCGCGGTCTAGCAGTATCCCTTTCTGCCTAGGGGCTGGAAGCCCCTAAAGACATGGGTCTTGAGCCAACACGGCTACGGAAGGAGGAGGAGGAGGAGGAGGAGGAGGAGGAGGAGGAGGAGGAGGGGGAGGAGGGAGGAGGAGGATGAGGATGATGATGATGAGGAGGAGGTGAGAATGTTGATGTTGATGTTTCGGTTGTTGATGTTGATGTTGTTGATGGTGCTGATGATGCTGATGATGATGCTGCTGCTGATGATGATGCTGCTGATGCTGCTGCTGCTGCTGAGGGTACGCGAATGCGACGAGACGCCGCAGCCCGAGGAACTTGGCAAATGGTCATGATGATGACGATGATGACGGTGTTGATGATGCTGATGACGATGACGAGGTTGTTGACGTTGTTGTTTGTTGTGGTTGTTGCTGTTGTTGTGGTTGTTGCTGCTGTTGTTGTTATTGTTGTTTGTTGATGTTAGTGATCAGGATGCGGAATAGGATGACGGCGATGATGCTGATGATGTTGATCTGCAAGGAGATATGGATCTGATGATGCTGATGCTGCTGATGATGCTGCTGCTGATCCTGAGGATGATGAGGATGAGGATGATGATGCTGATGATGGTGACGATGACGATGATGCTGATAAGGATGACGCTGATGATGCTGATATTGATGATGATGACGATGATGATGATGCTACTGATGACGAGGATGATAGTGATGACGATGATGCTGATGATGATGGGATGATGCTGATAATGATGCGGCTGTTGATGATGAGGATGATGATGCTGCTGATGATGAGGATGATGCTGCTGCTGATGCTGACGATGATGCTGACTATGATACTGCTGATGATGGTGATGATGGGGAGGAGAGGAGGAGGAGGGGGAGGAGGAGGAGGAGGAGGAGGAGGAGGAGGAGGAGGAGGAGGAGGAGGAGGGGGAGGAGGAGGAGGAGGAGGAGGAGGAGGAGGAGCAAATGCAATAAGCATCACGGTCCTCTTTCAGAAGACTCCAGACGGTCACAAAATTGGCCGCGACGGCCTCCGAACTGCGGGGAGGCCTTTCCGTAAATTGCCTAGGGTGATCTTGAGCTTTCCAGGGGTCTCGGGTCCCCTGAGGCTCCAAAAAAGGTACAAATACATAACAAACATCGATCCTCGAATCCCGACCCTCCTACTTCCCCCTGCCTGCTCCTCCTCCTCCTCCTCCTGCTGCTGCTCCTCCTCCTCCTCCTCCTCCTATTCCTGATCCCCCTCCCCGCCTTATCCCCCCACCACCTCTGCCATCCAACCTGCACCCCCCCTACTCCCCCTCCCCGATCCTCGACCCTCGATCCTCGAACCTCCTACTCCCCCTCCTCCTCGACCGAAGAAGCGCCGCGGCTCTCCACAACACCCGAGGGGGCAGGGCGAGCGGGGAGGGAGCCCTGTGAGGCCGCCGCGGGGTATACTGCGGCGCGGCGCGCGCCTGCAGGGAGAAGATGCTGATGGAGTGGCCGAGGCTCGGCGTGACCTGCTCCCGGCGCTCCTCCGATCTCAGACGAAGCCAGGGCGAAGACAGACTCGGGTGAGGATAAGACGAGAGTCTCTGAGATCTGGCGGCCCTGGAGGATGCCTCGGGCGCCGCGGCCCTCTCGGAACGCTGCGGAACGTGTTTATCCTCGTCCTGGCCCCGTCCGACGATCTCCTGCTTGCCGCCACGCTGGGACAGCGCTCCAGACCTTCAGCGCGCTGAACAGAAGTCCAGACGGAGGTCTTTCGCGCCCCGGGAGCCCGGCCTCGGCAACAGAACAGCCGGGGACGAATACCGATCCCTGGGATGTGCTCCGGAGCTTTGGGCACACCGCATGGACAAGACGTCAAGACGTCGGAGGTCTGGGGGGCCTACTGCGAAGGAGGGCGATCCCGGCTTGCCATCTCCGCGGGCCTCGGGCCCTCCACGGGCCTCGGGGCCGCCAGAGAGCGACTCGGGCTGGCCAGCTGGTCCCGCGGGAGTCCCGGGGGCCTGGGACCCGCTGCCCTCGGGGCCCGCTTCCTCCGTGGCGACACCTGGCCTCCGCCGGGGCCACGCCAGCCAGATGATGCCGGCTACCGCAGGGCGGTCGGGGGGAGCGAGCCCCCGCTCGGCCGCTCGGCCCACCCCTCCACGGTCCACGGCGAAAGGCCAACGCATGGGCGCCCGACGCGATCCCATCTCCCTCCTCCCTCCGTCTCCCTCCCGCGTGCCTAGTCGCCATCGAGAACCGCAGATCTAGGACCGAGTTCCCTCCTCCATCTTCTTGTCCACAAGTGCACAGTCATCACTCACTATAAGGACTGCTCTCCTCTCTCCCCAAATCCTGCGTTCATTTTCCCCCGCCTACCCGGCAGATGGTCTTTTACACGCAAGATTGTCGCGAATTGTCCTTCAATATTGTTTTTCCAATCCGAGCGTTCTCGATTTTTCAAAACTGGTGCTCTCTTTAAAGCGTTGGCCACATTTTAGGATCGGCGAGTTGCTCCCATCATTCAGAATGGAGATCTGGCCCCAGTGATCTGATTCCTTCCTCATCGTTGTCGCCCCCTCCTTTCCCTTCCTCCGCCTTCCTTAGTCCTCCTGCTCCCCCCGCTCCTCCTACTCCTGTTCCTGCTGCTGCTGCTGCTCGTCCTCCTTGCTCCTCGTATTCTTCCTGTTCATTCTGCTGCTCATCCGCCACCTCCTCTCCTTCCTCCGAAATGCAAAGCCCCTTTTCTGATTGCGCATCGCACGATTGGGGCATGTAGGTAAACCGTGTTAATCGAGAACATCAGCCAGCGTTGACTCCAAATAGATAGGAGGACAGGAGGGGGACGAGAGGAGGATGGGAGGAGGACGAAAGGAGGACGGGAGCAGGAAGGGAGGAGAACGTGAGGAGCAAAATTGAGCAAGCGCAGGCAAGCAAGCGGAAGCAAGCAAGCGCAAGCGAGCAATAACAAGCAAGCAAGTACCAGCGATCAAGTGCAAGCAGACAAGGGCAAGCAAGAGCAAGCAAGCGAGAGCAAGCACGCAAGAGCAAGCAAGCAAGTGCCATTGGAAAAAGGAGGGGTGCCATTGGAAAAAGGGGGGGGGGGTGCCATTGGAAAAGGGGGGGTCCTAAAGACCAATTACTTATGATGAGCTAGGACTCCTATAGGGCAAGACTATTTGGAGAACACCCGTCGCCGGATAGAGAGGAATCCGCGCCAAGGAAGGGCTGGTGGGAGGGGTCGAATGTCAGAGATGGCGCGAGAGTGCCCAGCGTGATGCAATGATTACTCTCTCTCTATATATCTCTCTCTCTCCTGATTCTGTCGTTTTCTGCCCCCGCCAATCGAACATACTGTTGTTTACACACGTGATTGTCCCGAATCATCATTCGACCTATTTGTCATCCAGTCAGAAAGGTCTCGGTCTTTCAGAAGTGGTGCTCCAGCTGCAACGTTGACCGCACTTCAAGATCGGCGCTTTGCTCCCGTGGTAGCACACCATAGTGTGATCCTCCTCATCTACCCCATCTGGCTCCTGCTCCTGCTCCAGCTCCTTCATCTCTTCATCTGGTCGTTCTCGATGTGCTGAGATGTATGTGTAGCATTATGCAAACAATGCTTGCACTTAGGGGTTCTTCCTTCTCTTCTCAGGAACTGGGCCTGTCTGTCGATCTGGCGGCTATGTAGTCGCGGCCGCCGCCCCGTCGCTGCCTCGTCGCTGCCCGTCGTCTGGGCCTGTCTGCCGGTCGGGCGGCTATGTTGTCGCCGTCGCCGCCCCGCCGCCGCACGTCGTCTGCCTCTGTCGGTCTGGCGGCTATGTTGTCGCCGTCGCCGCCCCGCCGCTGCCCGTCGTCTGGGCCTGTCTGTCGGTCTGGCGGCTAACTATGTTGTCGCCGTCGCCGCCCCGTCGCCGCCGTCACCGCTCGTCGCCGCCGTTAGATTGTACCACAAAGACGGCACCACAAGGATCGCAACACATAGATTGCACAACATTGAACGCACCACATATACTGCACAACGTATATCGCACACCATAGATGGCACCACATAGCTCGCACTGCATATATGGCACCTTGTAGAAAACACCACATGCATTGTACCACGCATATTGCACCAGATGCATTGCACCACGAAGAGCGCACATCAAATGTTGTGCAGCATAGATTGCACCGCATGCGCTGCACAACGTCGATCGCACAACATATATTGCACCACGTAGATGGCACAACACATACTGCACCACGTAGACTGCACGGCGTATTTTGCACAACATAGATGGTGCAACATGGATCGCACACCATCTACTGTACAACGCATTCTGCACCACACATATTGCACAACATATGCTGCACAACAACCGTTGCTCTATATAGATTTCACCACATATAATGCACCACATAATGTGTACCACACAGATTGCACCACATAGTTTGCACAGCGTAGGTCGCACACAATCTATTGCACAACAGAGGTTGCACCCCATATATTGCATACCATAGGTCGTACACCATATACACGTAGCACACTATGGACCGAACAGCCTACGTACTTTGCACCACCTAGCTAGTATCGCATCAATTGCACCACACATGTTGCCCAACATATATTGCACAACGCGTATTGCTAGACACACACTGTTTGGTGCCCACGCGGGTTATCACTTATGTTTATAAGCACAGGCATGTATTTGGATTGCACGAATAGTATACACGCATATTAATGTAAACATGTCGGATGTGTATATGTAGGTACATTTGTAAACATACATACATATACACATATGTACATATATGCATATATGCAAGTATGCATGCTTGTAGGCAATTTGCTACAATTTCCCAGCATTCTTGGTCATCGGTGCCCTGCCCCACCTCTCTTGCCGCCTTTCCCTGGTGCTTCTTCTTTCTCCTTCTCCCACTTCTGTCAAACCTCCGTCCTGGATCTCTGGAACCCCTCCCCTAATACCCTTCCTCCTCCCGAATAAATGTTTCCACGGTCCCACTGCCTGTAAACTGCCTCTGGACTCAAACAGCCGTCGGCACAACCTAAATCAGGGGGGGCACTCTCCTTTCTCCTCCCCCCCTGGAGTGGCCGACACCGCCCTCGATGGACTCGTCGGGACAACCTCCACCGGGGGGAAGCCCTCGGAGACGGCGCTGGAGAACGAGGTCCTGCCCAGGGGGCGGGCCCAAGCACGAGGGAGAAATCAACGAACTACGAACTACCAACAACGACGACGACGACGACGACGCCGGGCGGCGGCGGCGGTGGCGGCGGCGGCGGCGCAAGGCGAAAGGCGGCGGCGGCTCTCCGCGTAGAGGCGCTCCGGGAGGGGCACGGCGCGCCGCTGGGGAGGCGAGAATGGTCTGGCAAAGCTTCTCACATCTTCAAGTGCTTATGTTTGTTGAGATTTCGTGAATGAAGATCCGTCGGCCCCCGCTTGCCGGGATTGCACAGGCGTGTGAGATGATTGGCTGTCCCCAGCCCCCTTTCCCCCTCCTCTGAGCTGCTCTCTGATTAGAGGGGGGGCGGTCTGGAGAGGAGCTGGGGGGTGGACCCCGAGTTTACCAACGCTCCCCCAGGCTGAATTTCTACACTTTGTGGCATCGAAGATGCCTAAGAATCGATCTGCGCTTGCTCAAGCAGGGTTCCAACAAGCACAGGAGTCCCCGAAGACGACTTTTTTTGGTCAAGGGCGCAAAAGACAGCGCGCGCTGCGGCCCCACCGAGGGCGCTGCCTAGGCCTGGATTTACGAGCACGCCACACGGCTCAGGTGTGGCACCCTGGTGAGCCGGCCGCCGCTTCGGCGCGCCTCTCCTTCGCGGCAATCCGGGCCCGCAGGCTGCCATGCGGTCGGCCGCGGGGGCGGCCTCGCTGGCCTGCGGCTGCGGCGGGCGGCGAGCCAGCCAGCCAGTCGGCCAGGAGCTGCTCGCCGCGGGCTGCCGCCAGTCGCTCGGCGACTCTGGCCTTCTTGGCCCTTTCCTGGCGCCAGACCGTAGCCGCAGGCGCCGCGGCGGCTGCCGGCCTGCCGAGCGCGCCGCCAGCCGAGTCCTGGGCGGCGCCCGGCGCGGCGCGCGGCGGCCAGGCCCTCGCCGCCTCGTCGCCGAGCTCGCGGGCGCTCCCCGCAGGCGCGGCCTTGCGCTTGCAGCCGCGTGTGCGCCGCGGCCGCTCCGCCTCGGAGTCCCTCACATACTGCCGCTTGGCCCCGGGGTCCACGGGCGCCAGGATGTCGAGAGGGCACCGGTTCGCGTACGCGGTGGCCCGCCCGATCCACAGAGCGGCCTCCCGGAGGCGCGCGGCAGCGTCGCGGACCATCTGGACCTGGGCCCGGGGCAACGACCAAGATAGCTCAAGACTGCCCTAAAGGCCTCAACGACGCCCCACGAGGGCTCTAAGACGACCCCCCAGAGGGCCTCAAGAAGCAAAGATCGTCCAAATCCCGAGGGAACCATATAATGTGTTCATATTTGCATCTTTGCCCCAACAGCGTCCAAGACGGCCAACGATGCCACCAAGAGGGCCCAAAGCCAGCTGAAGAGGCCCCAAGACGGCCCAAGAGGCGTCCAAGATGGCCCAAAAGAGCCCCAACAGAGCCCAAGAAACTCCCAAGACGCCCCCCAATGGCCCCCACAGACAGGTGCGAATTGATTCCCTGAGTTTGAGTTCCAGGGAGGGGGCGGGCACAGAATTGGATCACGACGAACGCAATCGAGGTGCGCGTCGGAAAACCTGCGTGGCAGGCGCCGGCGACGCCCCCGCCCTCTCCACGGCCCAATCGGTCAAACTCGTACCCTCACGCCATGGAGCCGTAACTTTACGAGCCATGATTTTACAAAGTCAGCGCGCCGCGTGGACAGGGGGCTATTCCTGGGGGTCTGTGCGCAGCCGCAAATCTTGTCAAGCTGATCTGTCTTGGGCGCGGCCTGTATCCGCTGGCTGTCGGCGCGTATTCAGCACACAAGCAGCATGCGAGGGCTCCACTTCGTCGCCACCTTCCTATGCTCCCCGTGTCGCTGGAAGAGCTTTTGGGTTTGGCTCAGCTGTGTGACTTTAGCCACTGGACATGCTCATCCTCATTCCCCTCCGCTGAGGTCTCGCCAGCCCGCAGCAGTCTCTCGGCAAGGCCCCCGAAGACTGGCCGCCTCGATCTGATCAGGACGCCAGAGCCGGACCTCCGACGCCTTCCTCCTCCTCCTCCTCCTCCTCCTCCTCCTGCGGCTGTTGGGCCCAAATGGGCTCAGCACCCCCCAGGCAGTAGAGGCTTGACCTCTCCTTCGTGGACAGCCGTTCCGTTCGGTTCCGTTCCGTTCCGTTCCTCCTCCTCCTCCTCCTCCTCCTCCTCCTCCTCCTCCTCCTCCTCCTCCTCCCCCTCCACCTCCTCCTCCTCCTCCTCCTCCTCCTCCTCCTCCCCCTCCTCCCCGTTCTATCAGCTTTGCCCCAGGTGTGAAGGACCTAGGCTCGGTCACGACTGCTCATAAGCGTAGGGCTACTTGGAAGGTTCAGCAACGACGAGCCTTTTCTTTCCGCCGTGGTCGAAAGCTGTCGTATCTTGCCAAGCTGTGCGGTGCATCAGGCAAAGTATTCAAACCGAGCATTTTGGCATTCGGATCTTGGGGACATGCTCTCTTGGGACTACCTACCTACTGGTGATATTAGACAGTTCAGATCCTCTGCAGCCTCGTGTTCGGGGTTCTGGTCCACTGGTGCGTGCGTGAGTAGCGTGCTACAAGTTCTACATGACACGAGGAACGATCCGATGTATCGACTTCGTATCGAGCAGCTCACATTGATCTCGGAGGTTTGGGTTTCGCTTTCTGCAGGCCTTCGATCGGGTGTTCGTCGACTTTGGGAGTCTCTACATGACAAGATAGGTAAGACCCAATCGTCCGATCGTTGGCGACAGGTTCGTAGACCCATCGCGGCTCTGTATGTTACAGTCCTCGAGCTAGGCTGGCAACTTCTCTTTGTTGATGAATGGCTCGTCGAAGGCAGTGCACCTCTTCGAATGACTGATGCTGATTTTCGTTATCATGTCTTTGTTGCAACACATGTCAATTGCTCCGCCTTCGTTTGGGCCAAGGCTTCCCGTCATTCTTGTGGCCGGGGATTAGCTTCAGGAACTGACCTCGCTGTTTTACGCGCCAAGCACAAGAAGTTGATTGACGACGGCGACTTCAAGGGCGCCGCACTTCTGATTACCATTGCTGTTGGAGGATGTTGGCCAGAGAGTCGGCTTCAGGATAGTGGATACCTAACCTCAGGTAAGTGCTTAAGGTGTGGAGATGAGCGAGAGACCCCACTGCACCGTGCCTGGGGATGCCCCAGTCACGCTTTCCCGACAGACCCTGGCATTGCTGCCGGTGAGTATTTGGCTCCTGAGGCCCTCGCTGCAGACCCTCAGAGTGCCTTCTTCACCCTCGTGCTCTTGCGTAGACTTGGGGCACCCTGATGGCTCAGAAGCGGGTTTCTGGAGGCGTGCGGGGCCTGGACGGCTCTGGTGGTACATTTGCTACTGGTAAGCGGCTCTTCCGGTGTGGACGGGCTATTGGTTCTCTTGGGACTCCTGATGGGCTCTCTATGCAGTTGGATTCCATTCTGTGTGGTTCTCCACCTACCCCTGATCAGTCGAGTCGTCGTGCTGACTTGTATGCCTTCCTGATGGTGGCGAGTTCTACTACTGATGATATATATATATATATATATATATATATATATTGTGCTACTCAGACTACCTGCCCCTCGTCAAGGGGCTGCGGCAGCCACGAGCTCAGGTTGTGTCTAGTAGTTCGATGCTCGATCTGTGGGTTCGGATCTGGTCGGCTCTGGATGATCGCGGTCCTGGTAGGGTCGAGGTCCTTTGGACCAAGAGCCACTCATCGGCCCAACAGCGGACCCAATTTGCCATCGGGGAAAAGGAGTTTTTCCTGAATTGGTGTGCTGGTCATTTTGCAGGATGGGCCGCCGATGGAGCGGCCCCCAGTCTTGGGCAGGTTGATGTCACTCAGGTCGTGGATCGAATCACCTCCCACACGCTCGACCGCCTGTTGGCGGTGCATAGGGAGGTGGTCGAACAGAATCCCAGGAGAGTTGCTGATATGCTCGGCCGCCCGCCACCGCGCCCTCCCTCCCTCCCCTCTTTCCAAGTCAGGAAGATGCGATTGCGGAGCGCTGGCCACGAGCCGAATCTTGCATGTTCTTTCTTACGGTGCCAAATGTGTGCGAGGAAGTTCAAATTGAGGGGCCGTGTTCAGGACTTCTGCCCTGGTCCCTGTCTCGGCCCTTCCCACCTCTCCTCCGGCCCGCTTGCCCACCCCTTGTACCCTCCTGTGCCAGCACTCACAGGCTGAAAGTCCTGCGTGGAGTTTTGTTTTGTGAACACTGTGGCGCCCATGCAGGTGCCAAGAGTGTTCAGAGTTTGGCCAGGCCGTGCAAGACAGACCGTCCCCCCTCCAAAGCAGGGAAAGAGGTGCTGTCAAGGCTGGCGAGGGGGCTGCTCCCCAAACGTGGAGGTAAATTCCCTCATGCGTGAGGTCTGCGAAGTGTCCAGGCTTGACCTGGTCCTCAGAGGTTTGCAGATCAGACCATTCTCTTCCTCCTCCTTCTTTTCCTTCTCCTCTTCCTCATGCTCCCCCCGCCTCCTTCTCCTCCTTCTCCTCCTCCTTCTCCTCCTCCTCACCCTCCTTTCTTTCCTTCTCCTCCTCCTCCTCCTCCGCCTCCTCCCCCAGAGCCATTCCTCGCAGGGCTTGTTTTTGTTCCGTCGCGTCTCGCTTCGCGATGGCCGCCAGGGGCCCGAGAGCTGTCCCAGCGCATCTGGGAAACGACCACACGCTGTGCTTTGCTGCGAGACGCCTGGAAGTTCGGCGGCGACGGCGACGACGATGGCCAGCGGAGTCGACGGCGACGACGGCGGTGGGGACGACGATGCTGACGACGGCGGCGGCAGCGACGGAAGCGCTAGCGTCGGCGGCAGATCGTCGCGGCCCGCGCCCGCCGGGTGGCACCCTGTCGGGTGTTGCCAGATGTGCTGCGGCCAACGGCGACCCAAGCCTTTCCAGTGAGGCCCAGGCGAGTGAATAATACTAACAATATTGTCATTCACAAGGATAATGGGACGACGACGACGAAAACGACGACGACGACGGCGACGACGACTACTACTATTGTTAATACTGCTACTGCTACTGCTACTGCTACTTCTACTGCTACTGCTACTGCTACTGCTGCTACTAATACTACTTTACTATTCCTAGTACTACTACTACTACTACTACTACTACTACTACTAGTACTAGTACTAG